GGGGGGGGGGGGGGGGGGGGGGGGGGGGGGGGAGGCAATCACCAGCAGGGCGCCCTCCCCGCTTCTGGGGCTGGCGGCGTGGCCCGAGCGGCTGGCGCTTTGTCCCCCGGCCGGCCCGCCGCTCTGGGCTGGGCTGGCCGAGGCAGGAGTCGGCCGGGGCGCTCGCCCGCGGGGTCCCGCAGGAGCGCGCCGGTGGACGCGGAAGTGGAGGGCGGGCGCACGGTGCGTGCCTCTGCCTCCGTCCCGGTGTTTCGCACTCCTTCACTCAGCCGCTTTGTGACATTCAGCGAGTCCGACTGCAACCTTAGCTTAGCCTCTGCTCGCGGCTCCCACCCCCAGGGGCGGGAGGAGCGAGGGCGGGGGGCGGGGAGACACTGGGCGGGCCGGGACGAGGGGGCCGGGGGCGGGGGCTGCCGGGACTGCCTCTCTCTGTAACTTGCAACGTGGTCGGGAGGGAGGGGAGGGGAGGGGATGGAGCCCGCGCCTGCTAGGTTGGGGCGCCTGGGGAGGGGACCCCGGGAGGAAAGGAGCGCCGCTGGGGCAGACCGGAGTAAGCCCTAGTACCGTGCCTGCCGGGCACAGAGTAGGCGCCTAATAAATACGTGTTGATTGATTGAAATGGCAGAGCAGGGAGGCGATAACCCCACACAAACACACGCTCTCCTCTGCGAGCCTGTAACAGAGGAACCTCCTGCTCCGCGTGGATCTGAGGATGAAATGGACCTTTCTGATCCTGCTCACCCCCAAGGGCCGCGGCCACCCCACCCCCCTTTTGTCTTCCCAGACTCTTACAGTAATACCCCGCAGCCCGTCCCTGAAGGTTTGGCCCGAGCAGAAGAGCGCTGTCCCACAGTCTTTTTAGCCTTTAATTCTCCTGTTGCAGGGACTTGGCCCCACCCCCTGTTAGTGTGGAACCAGAAAAGTTTCCTGGTTGGCCCGAAGCCAGGCATCTTTGCCAGCCTAGCTCTGAGGGCGGGAGAGCCCGAGCAATGACCGCCTGCTGCCCGGGAGAGGGGCGGCCCTGATGAGAAAGAGGGAGTAGGTGTGGCCACAGCAAGGCAGAGGCCAGGAGGCCAGGAGCCTACTGGTGCAACCGAAACGTTACAGTCCGGGATCCTCAGAGATGGACAGCCACACCGACGCAGAGAGAACCTGAACAAAGAAATGGGCAAGAGAATTGTCTCGTTTGTCTGACATTAGTTCAAAAATTTTTGGATGTATTTCAGGCCTGGTGGTGATCCTGGGCAAGTCACCCCACCCTCAGTGCCCTGGGCAACGCTATAAACCTGAAGTTTGCATAGCGGTAGCCAGATTATGTTTACAAAACCCCTTCCTCTCAAGCCTGTGAGGTAGGGAATATAAATATCTTTAATCTCTCTCTCTCTCTCTCTCTCTCTCTCTCTCACACACACACACACACACACACACACACGCAGGACACCTCTCTGCGGTCTCTTCCAGCTCTGGATATAAGAACTCACGATCCATGAGTCCCTTGGCTTAGGGAACTCGTGGTGAAGATTTGAAACTACTCTGCAATTTCTAGTCTTAGAGTTTCCTGGCTTACTGAGAGGTTATATGACTTCCCCTAGGGCCCGCACATCCATGTTTTCCAAGTCTAGCACGCTGTGTAATGATGCCTCTTGAGAACTTCACGACATACACGTCTTATTGGAGGATGAGCCTAGTCAAGTGTAAAATTCATCACCAAAAAGCTGGCCATCAGCGTAAACATTTTTACTGGTCACAGCAATCCACAAAGAACGATCCACAAAAGATGTATACTACTTTGATAAATGTTTTGGGGATTGAATTGTTGAATTTTCAGCCTCTGCCCCACCCCTACCTTGTGTTTGTTGTTCTTTTACATATGATACTTTATTATTGGGTGATCAGGAAGGGCCAGTCTTGAAAGCAGAGGTTCTTAACCTGGTTAATTTCAGGGGGTCTGAAAACTTAGATGTGAAAAAATGGCATCTTTTTTTCAATGTAATTGATTTCATTTGTAATCCTATGCATTTTGTTTTATGTATTTAAAAACATTATTCTGATGGGCTTCACCAGATTTGCCAAAGGTGTCCAAGGCATAAAAAAAGATAAAGAACCTCAGCTTTAAACTTTTAGGATGAGGTTCTGTTAACAAAAACAATCAGGTCTGGATAGTGAAAACACAGTGACTACACAGTAGCTGTCCAGGGTCATAGCTAACATGTATCAGAGGCAAGACTTAGACCCAGATCTTCCTGTCTCTGGGGCCAACTCTTCTAGCTACTTTGACACACTGCTTTTCATAAATATATTAAGTGCACTTATATGCTTTTTTTTTTTTTAGGCAATTGGGGTTAAGTGACTTGCCCAAGGTCACACAGCTAGCAAGTGTCAAGGGTTTGGTCTGAGGCCACATTTGAACCCAGGTCCTCCTGACTTCAGGGCCAGTGCTCTATCCACTGCACCACCTACCTGCCCCTATGTGTTCTTTTTTTTAAAAGACCATTTAAAACACTTTATTTATCACACAGGTGAAATTCCATTCCCCCTAAATCCACACATTTGTCAACATTTGGCAAAAATCGGATCCTAGTCCTTACAGGTCAATACCAAGAAAGACAAAAGTGAATCTTGCACCAAGTAAATTATAGCTGGTTTGAGTCCTGATCTCCAGACCTCACACAGAACAGTTCTGGGTAGATGAAGAAAGGCCACTCCATTCCATAACTGAAGGGTTATTTGTTTATGACACTGACTCCCTGATATGCCACCAGATATGGTAATAAATATGAATGTGCTATCTAAAGACAGAAGTGAGCTTAGATCCTTCACTTAGGTGAAAGTGTTTTCTTGGTTACACTTTCTCTCATATACATTCACACACATACACACACACCCTCCTAGAGCTGGTGCAAAGAAGTGCGCTATATTAACATGTACAATTCTTTCTCTTATACGCACTTATATGTTCTTAAAAGACTTTTGGTACTTTGAAAGATCTGTGATTTCATAAGCACAGGTGGGCCACACAGATCACAACTTTCCACATACCTTTTGTGGACAATTTTTCTTTGTGAATTACTGTGACCACTAAAAATGTTTGCAATGATGGCCAGCTTTTTGGTGACTGGGCAGGTCCTCCAATAATACCTGTATGTTGTGAGGTCCTTGATAGGCCAACTTAAAAATAAGTCTCTCTGAAATTAGCTGGGTTGTTCCTCCCACAACAGGCACAATAAGCCTGATGACAGCCTCAGGCTTCTAGCCTTTCCATCTAGTTAGAATCCCCCATAGAAGTCTATGCTTCACTGGAATCAAACAATCATTTATTAAGCCCCTACTATGGTCAGGGATTGTCAGAGCCCAGGGTCAATTCTATTCTATTCAACATTTCTTGAGCATCTATTGTGTGCCAGGCGCTGTGCTACCTGCAACATCAGGTAAGCATCAGACAAAGTGAATAGATGCCAAACTGCTCACTGCAAATATAATCAAGTATTTATCAAACACCTATTATGTGCCAAATACTGTGCTAGGTGCCAGGGATAACAAGACAAAAAATGAAATAATCCCTGCTCTCAAGAAACTTACATTCTATCAAATATAGGCTGGCATACTTAAAGCAAGATTTCTTTGAAAGAAAGAAAGACAGATAGACAGAGAAATACATACATACATACATATATTCATCTGTATATATATATATACATATACATGAGTGTGTATATGTGAGTTGTGTTACATGTGTGCAGCAGAATTTTTAGAGGTGGTTTTTAGAGATTGGTCAACCACCTCATGTATAGCCTATGTGGGTATATCACTCCTCTCCACCTGCTTGACTCAATAATTTATTCTCATCCCTAGTTTTAAGGCAATCAAGGAGTATTAACTATATTTCCTAATTATTGATTAAATTATTTTAAAACTCTCATTAATAAATTAATTCTCTCTGGAGACCCATTCCTGTTTATTTGTTTATTTATTTATTAAAGAAATTAGAGAAATCCCTTTCCCCATAAGCTTTCACTTTCACTCAATATCAAATTCTCTAATCTTCTAAATAAACATCAGGGTTAACGGTGATACAATTTATTAACAGTGTAACAAATGACCAAATGTATACATAAATAATCACAATAAATTGGTTGAAAGACAAATCACAGCTAGTCAACTCTGGAAAAACAATCCCATCTTGAGCTTTCTCATTTTACCAATTAAAGTCTCTTTTCAAGAATTTTCTTCATATGTTTCTTCACAAGAGGAAGTTAAAACCATTCTATAGAGAAAGAAGTTTTCTTAATCCTCTCTCTCTGTTCCTCAGTTTCTCCAGACAGCACAAATCTGATGGACTGGCCATGTTGTTCCAATGCAAAACGGACACTTGCCAAAAAGCCTATTTTATGGAGAACTCACACAGGACAAGCCCTCACACGGTGGTCAGAAGAAGCAATACAAGGACACTCTTGCGGTATCTCTTAAGAACTTTGAAATTGATTGTGTGACATAGGAGGCACTGTCACACAGGACCGCTCGGCATGGCCTGCCCTCCTCAGAGAAGATGCTGTGCTCTATGAGCAAAGCAAAATTGAAGTAGCTCAAAAGAAACTTGAGATGCACAAATTTAGAGAAGCCACCCCAAATACTCAACATGGACAATTTGTGCCTGACCTGTAGTAGAACATTCCAAGTGTATTGATCTGATCATTCACAGTCGGACACACTGTGACGTGACTCTAGCATAGTGATGTCATTTTTGGTCCCCTGAAAACAAAGGAAAACAATCAACCAACCAACCATTACATATAACTTTTCAGAATGACACAAAATTCCATTGTCTATTAAAGATACAAAATCAATACCCGTAGTCCTTTCTAGGCTCCACTCTTGATTCTCCAGGCTTTTTCTGCCATGCTACAAAAGCCCCTTCCCCCTGAAAGTTCGCTGCACCTTTGGCGTTCTCATACTGAAAGTTCTCTCTGCCCCTGGGGCCCTTTCCTGTGATTGACTGGCTCTTTGCAGAACCTCATTTTAAGGTAACTGCCCAGGTCAACTACATCTTCATCCTTCTGCAGGCTCCCCTCCTGATTCTCC